CTCTTGATATGTTTCTGTTGTGGTAGCGATGTTAGTATCTATCTATCTATCTATCTATCTATCTATCTATCTATCTATCTATCTATCTATCTATCTCTGTTCCTTACTTATCTATCTCTGTTCTTTACTTATCTATCTATCTATCTATCTATCTATCTATCTATCTATCTATCTATCTATCTATCTATCTCTGTTCCTTACTTATCTATCTATCTATCTATCTATCTATCTATCTGTCTGTCTGTCTGTCTGAATGTATGTATGTGTCTCTATCTATTTATCTATCTGTCGTTATTTAGCTATCAATCATTTAAAGATAGCAATCTGTTAATAACACTTTCTGTATAGCTACTTATATCATACTGTTAATATCTACCTGTCTTTATAGACAGATAGATAGATAGATAGATAGATAGATAGATAGATAGATAGATAGATAGATAGATTTGAACTGATGGAGATAGAATTAAACAGATTGAGCTCGATAGATAGATAGATAGATAGATAGATAGATAGATAGATAGATAGATAGATCCAGTGGGCCGAATTAAAAAAAAATGATAGAGAGATAAATAACAGACAGTTCACAATAGTCAGATAGACAGACAAACATAAGTGTGCATGTGTGCACGCGCGTAGGCATGTATGTTTGTCTATGGGCACATGTGAGTGTATCTCTGTCTGCCGGTGCGTGTATCTATAAAAATTCAGATATAAATAAAAACAAATCTGTAAAAATGACCATATCATTAAAGACAAAAAGAAAACCTTATTTACACGCGCGCTTCGTCCTCTGGTGGACATTATCAAGATCAAAATAAATGAATTATTTGCCTGGATATTCATCAAAATTTTATTTTGTATTTATTCACATACACCCTCGCATAGAATCACACACACACACACACACACACACATATATATATATATATATATATATATATATATATATATATATATATATATATATATATATATATATATATATATATATATATATATCTTATCATTCACAGACAGACTGTTTCGCAGCTCATCAGTGTGACTAGATATACGATTGCCTCAAGCCGGGATCGAATCCCGACTGATCTGACATCCGTCTAAGCTATCGGCGCACGGTTGAAAGAAAGGCTAATTTTTACATAATTATTCTGTGAATAAATACGCCAATGACTGATAGCGCTTAACCCAGGAAAGATCTTGTGTATATATATATATATATATATATATATATATATATATATATATTAAAGACATTTTTATGTTTAACGTTCTTTTTTATAGATACAAGTATTTAAGTAAATGCTCTGTTTATAATAAACAGTATTAAATAACATTTACCGGCCTGAATGTCCGAGAAATTTTCATAGAAAATATTCGTTCTTTGACAGGATTCGAACCTGCATCCTATACGTTAAACATAAAAATGTCTTTAATAAATAAATTGTCGGACTTTGACCATTTCTTAATATACGCTTCTTTGTGGCCGATCGGTAAGGCACGTCAGCGTAAATGACGGTTCCGTATAGGATGCAGGTTCGAATCCTGTCAAAGAATCATGCGCCGTTCGAATGTTTGCTTTAATTTCTGGTGAAACTAAAGACAATAATTGTCCAACATTTGGATATTTTAAGTTGATCCTAAGCTTTCGTTTCACACGAGCCATTCTCAGATTGGTTATACAGACATGAAACAAAGATATCCATCTTCAAAGATGTTATTTTGACATAGAAATTGCTAAATAAATCCACCAATTCTTCATATATATATATATATTTATATATATATATATATATATATATATATATATATATATATATATATATATATATATATATATATATATATATACACACACACACACATACATACATATATATATATATATATATATATATATATATAGCAGAGTGTCAATCGTCTTGAGTATGAGGATAAATTACATTCGCATCCTGGCATGGAACCACCTCTTAATTTCTGGTGTTCCCACGTTCACCCTGCTCTGTGATGGTATCTAATGTCAGGGTCCCAAATATGGCCAAATAGTTAAACCTCTCCAAAATCGTCAAAACGCCATGAAAGTATAAAAATAGGTTTTAATACCATCAATAATTTTTGAGGAAAATTATTACCATCAGTACAGTTTTGAAAAAGAAAATATGACAAGCAATACAGTTTTTTTTTTAAATTATTACCAACAATACATGTTTGTAAAAAATATTAACACCAATAAAAATTTTATAGTCAATAAATAACCCACTGAAGTTGCTATGCCGTAAAACAAAAGAAACCAAACCAAACCATAGTGTATCAAAAATGTTTTTACAAATATTGGAGGCGGTTTCCTCAAACCAAAACAAGAACAAACATCCATATAAACATATGTCCGCTAATCCTTCGTTTTTGAGTTATTAAGTTTAAAGTAAGTTTATGGTAGATGGCGCTGTGTTGCCATGTAGACTAGGTTAGATTTTCCATTCGTGTACATTTGTAGCTAGTCTGTCTTCAACGTTTAACGTGTGTAGTTGTGAGTTAACAGAGAAGTGTTCTGTTTATCAATGGCATGATATTCATATCGTGAATAGGCAGATACGTTTTTTTTTTTTACATATGACCGTGCGAATGATAATGGACGCGAGGCTGCACGGCTGTGTCAAACAGCGTTTCCAGACCGAAGACAGCCTTGTCATCCAACCTTTTCCGGTGAGTTCTTTTGTCGATGGTTTGTGGCACAAAAAAAACAAATTTAAAAAAAAAAAAAAAAAAATTTACATAACCAACATTTGTGGGTAGATTGGAATCCCCATGGTACAATACAGACTAGATTAATGTGTAGACTAGAATTGTAGGTGACTGTCTGGTAGGTCCATATGTTCCCCCAGTCCGTCTTACAGAAGCTGTCTACAGGGACTTTATTTCGAACACACTTCCACCCCTGCTAATAGGAAGACGCATGTGGTTCATGCATGATGGGGCTTCGGCATATTTTAGTCATTTTATTCTGCCTGACATTTAACATGAACGATGGATAAGTAGGGGAGGACCAGTTCCATCGCTTCAACGTCCTCCCGACCTGAATTCTTTGGATTTTTATCTGTGGGGCCCCCTTAAACAATTAGTTTATGAAGCAGACTTAAATAATGCAGATACGCTTCATCAACATATCAAACTATTTGACACTGTGAGTGAATATTTGAAAGGGTCCGCCAGTCAAAGATCTGACGGGTGCATGGGTGTGTAGAACCAAGCGGAGGGCATTTTGAACATTTGTTATGAGTTGCTGCCTTCAGGTACAACAATGGCCTTTTGGAATTAGGTTTATATGGACATTTTATCTTAATTTGGTGTCTAGAACCCGTCCCCTGTGTTTGTAAAATTATTTTTTGATTGTATCTTGGGTTGTACATTTAACAGCGTCTACCGAAAACTTTGAACTTAATGACTGAAAAACGAATGATTTGAAGATTATGGTTACATGCAATTTTGTTGTTTTGGTGTAAGGAACAAACACAACAAAGTCTTCAAAATTATTTTTGATACACCCTGAAAATATATTATAGTGGCATGGTTATTATAGTATATAAATTATGTATAGTAAATATATTATAGTAGCATGATAACTACCTATATTATTACTATGACCTACGTTAAATTTAAACTAAGCGAAGTAGCAATAATTAAAAATTATTTTTTATAAATAATTAATGACTCGTAGATTGGCAGCTAACAGCAGCCAGACACAAAATAAAGCAGATACAAATGGTTACATAAATTGTACTAACCAGAGTTTATATTTTGCATTTAAATCTAAATAAATCGTTCACTCGCTAGTAATTTAAAATCGCCTGACGAGATGCATTGATACTCATCCAAACACGACTGCAATTATATAGCGTTTTTTTTGTTTGTTTGTTTTTACACATTTTTCGGTGTAATGTCCTAAAAAATATAATATTGGCTCTCCTCTGTATTGGGCCCTCTTTTAAATTAAATATTACGAACGCTGGCATTGTACTCCATTCTTTCTCATCGTACCTCTCTCTCTCTCTCTCTCTATATATATATATATATATATATATATATATATATATATATATATATGTATATAAAAAGAAAGAACAAAGATATATAATCCGGTGTTCTTATAGATATTTTTATTCTTACAAAATAGTGCTCAATGTAAATTTATAGAGCATTAATATTATAAATTAATTGATTTAAAATATGTTTTTTCCGCGAAAAAAAAAGTTTTTTCAGCGAGAAACCATATTTTAAATCAATTAATTATATAATATATATATATATATATATATATATATATATATATATAGAGAGAGAGAGAGAGAGAGAGAGAGAGAGGGGGAGGGTGATAAATTATTGGACTTTCTAGTCGTCTTCGACGCATGAGGAATCAGAAACGCAGTTCTTATTTCCAAAGAGCCAAACTATCTTCACATAATATTTGATTATAATGGTAAAGGCTTTGAAGTAATATAATACCAAAAGTAGCCCACATAAGATTCTGGGGAGGTATCTCTTCGAGGTTGGACCGAGAACTTTTTAGCCTAGCTTCGTGTGTGTGTGTGTGTGTGTGTTAGTGAGAGAGAGAGAGAGAGAGAGAGAGAGAAAATTTGTTGTTTTATTCGTTTCTTTATTTAGCAGTCGAATAAAAAGACCCCCACCTCATATTTTAAGGCTCGTTTCTGTCCGTTAATTGCCTGGAGGTCGGGATCTTGCGAGTTGCTGTCTGTAAACCGGTGAAGAGTCGTTGAGAATATAGGCGAACGGTTAGCTGATTGTTGATGCTGTCAATGCGAAAAGGGGTACAAATCGTGAAAAGGATGAGTGGAGAAGAGAGGCAAAACGAATCGAGAAGCACCAATGTGTTGATAGAAAGTTTAACGAATGAATGTAATCGTTTTAGCTTTTGCTTTTTTAGTTTCGTTTCGTTCTCTCTTCATCTAAGATGTCTCTTTGACATAACCACTAAACCTCTCCACATGTGGGCTGTGAATGAGGGTGCTTTCAAAATGCGAAATGATAGGAATCCGAAACGAAATACGAACGGACCAGATTGTCAGTCGCTTTTATTCCTTTATTTTTTTTTCTCTATTTATAGTATTGCTTTTACGTTTTTACTTTATTTTTATTGTAGTGATTTGTTTTTTTTTTCTTTCCTCAGAGTGCGTACCACCGAAAGCAGAAAAACGCCATAATCCTACCCCATGCTGTTACCGTTACAGGTTTTGGATAGATCCACATGAAACGTCTCGAGATGATAACACACGATTGATTCAATTGAAAGGAGCCAAGTACGGAAATCAATGCGTGCCCACTTTTTCCCTTTTCCAAATATATTTTATGCTTGCATGTTTTTTTTTAATTCCTTTTTCTAATTTTCAGTTTCCTTAATTCAATTTCGCGTCGCTTTCTCTCTTGTTTTGGTCTTCTTTTTTCAGGCCCTCCCCTTTTATCGTTTTTACAAGATTTTACTTCTTTGGATTTACTCCTATGTTGTTGATGTTCTTGTTTTTCTTCTTTTATTTTTCTTCATCTTTTCCTCCATTTTTTCTTCTTCTCTCTCCTTTACTTCGTTGTATTCTTCTTCTTTAATTCGTCTATCCTTTTTTTTTACCATCTTTTCTATTTTATTTGACCTATTATTTCTTTTCTTCTCCCGTTACTTATTTCCTCCTATTGTTGTTGTTGCTGTTCTTTTTTTTCTTTTTCTTCTCTCCTTCTTCAATATTTTCCTATTCTTCTTTACGTCGAATTCTTCCATTCTTCTTCCTCTTCGTTTTGCCTTCTCCATCTTTTTGCTTCATATCGCTTAACTTTTTTCATATTTAACCGTTATTTCTTTTTTCCCCACCTTTATTGAGTCGTCCATCTTCCTTCTCATCTTTCTTCTCTTTTTTTTTCTTATTACGCTTTATCCGTTTCCTTCGCCGTCTTTTTATTTCTTCTTCATCTCTTTTTCTTCATTTTGGCTGTTTTGTTTCTTCTTCAGCCATTCCTTATAATGTTCCCTCTTTATTTGGCCATCATCATTATTTTCTCCTTCGTGCGCTGCTTTTACCTTTTTTTTCCCCCTTCATCGTCTCCTTATTTATTCTTCAATGTTTTACATTATTCTCTAGCCTTCTTATTTGGCTTAATTTTTTTTTCTTCTGCAATTATTACTTCTCTTTTTTCGCCTTTATTTAACCGTCTCCCCTTCTTCTTCTTCTTCTTCTTCTTCTTCTTCTTCTTCTCCTTCTCCTCCTCCTCCTCCTTCTTCTTCTCTTCCTCCTCCTCCTCCTCCTCCTCCTTCTTCTTCTTCTTCTTCTTCTTCTTCTTCTTCTTCTTCTTCTATTAAGCAAATTTTTGCCTTCTGTCACTCTTTTTCCCTTATTCCAATTTCTTTATCTTACTTTTCGGTGTCTTTTTCATTCTTATTCCATTACTTTTCTTTTTTTCTTTTTCTTTATCGTTATTATTTTTTCTCACTTCCTCCATTACTTTGTCTTCTTCACATGATCTCCATCTTGTTTTTTTCTTTTCCTGATGTATCGTATCTCATTCATCACCATCTTTTCTTTTCTTTCTATTTATTTATTTACTTCTACATCTCAATTGTTTTGTCATCTCATTAAAAGTCTTCTTCCTATCTGTTTCTTTACATCTTTTCCTTATTTGGCTTTTTACATTCTCCTCTTTTTCTTTTTACTCCGCCATTTTGTTCTTCTGCTTATTCTAAACTGTCATCTATGCATGCGACGTTTATCATTTTCTCTTCTTCTGCTTTTTTCTTCTTCTTTTTTCTTCTTTCTTCTTCTTCTTCTTTACGTTCTCTCTTCTCATTAGTGTTACTTTTCTTTCTTTCTTTCTTTCTTTCTTTCTTTCTTTCTTTCTTTCTTTCTTTCTTCATTAGCCTCTACATCTTTCTCATTTTTTTCTTTTCTTTGGTCTTTTTATCTGTCTTCCACTCCTTTCTTTTCTTTCCTTTTTTTTTATTCCAATCTCGACTTTCCTTAACTTTTACTTCTTCCCTTTCTTCACTATTGCCTATCTATCTTTCCTTCTTTCTTTCTTTTTTTCTTACTTTCTTTCTTTCTTTCTCAGATTTTCCTCTTCTTCATTCCTCGTCAGCAAATTCCTTCAAATACAACAACAACAACAGCAACAACACTGATTATTTTTATTTTTGTTTTTTCTTGTTGTTAACGTAGGGTGGGTGACTCGCAGCCCACTTACTTGAACAAATACTTCCCTTTTCAACTGCCTCGTTTTTCCCGCCATATATTGCAAGGTTACCCCCAACATGTCGGCAATGTCTCCTTAAGTGGAATTCCAACAGACGATAATGGATGGGAACTGGACGCCATTAAGACAGACCAGTGAATCGTTTTGCTTTCTTTTGTCGGCATTGCATGCTCACACTAAACAACATAGTAATCTCCTCCTGGATGCATACAACCGGCTTGTGTGAGAGCGTTGATGAATAGATGGATTGGTATCCAATTCAGGAATCCAACCTTTATTTCAACCTTTCTTCTCTAACGATTCTCTTTCGCCATATTTAGTTTTAAAGTTCTTGTTTAATATTAACTTCTATCTCTATCTAGATTTTATTTTATTTCTTTTAAAACAAATTGTCCTTTTTTCTTCTTCTTTCACTGTTTGATTTTTTGCTTCGCATTTTTTAAAAACTTGTCTACGTCTTTTTATTTATTTATTTATTTTTTTTTTGTACTTACTTTTTGGCGTTGATTTTTGATATATTTTATGTGTTTTTATTTTTATATTTTATGTGTTTTTATTTCCTTTACTTTTCCTTAGTTTCCTTCGTGTTCATCTTTTCTTTTGTTTTCTTTCACGTTACTTTTTCGTTCCTTCCCTTTTACCATCATTTACGCCTTTCTTTCTAGGCGTATATTTGAAACACCGGTTCTCGTATGATCACCGGTTAAGTAACATCGAGTCTGGTCAGTACCTAGAAGGGTAACCGCTTGTGCATACCAAGCGCTGTATGTTTGGATGTGCCGGTGGTGTAATGCATAGCGTCTCTGAATTGGAAATCAGAAAACCAAGTTTCAATTCCACTCGGGGTAGTTTTATCCGAAAATAAACTTAGAAAAATTATGAATGCATCTATTACTCCTAGCTATGTGTTAATTAGTAGGAATTGTCTTAGTAAATCAGTATTATCTTTAAAAAAATCAGTATTGACTTTAAAAAAAATTCTTACAATCCTAAAATTTTTTTCTATGTTAAATAACCTTCAAATGGGTTGATAAGCCGTAAAAACAAAGCAATCAATCTGCTAACTTTTATGATTTCTTTTGTTTGCCATTTCATCGCGTTTACTTTCATTATGCTATTTCCTTCTAATGTATTTTACGTATTTTCTTTTCCTTCGTCTTCGTCTTCTATCTCTTTCTCTTTTTACCGCTATTTCTCTTTCTTTTTTTCTTTTTCTTTCTTTCTTTCTTTCTTTCTTTCTTTCTTTCTTTCTCCTTCGTTCTCATCTTGCTGTTTCCTTCTAAGACTTTTTTTTATGTACGCCATATTTTGCCAATTCTTCGGCTACATTTTCTTCAACTTCGTTTTTCTTTTCTTTCTTTTCTTTTTCTTCTTGCTTCATGATTCTTCTTTTTATTCTTTCCTTCTTTAATATTTATTCCACCGTCGTTTTCTTGTTACTTCTTTATAAATCTTAATGGGTTCTTTTTCTTTTATCTTTCGTTTTCTTCTCTTTTTCTTTTTCTTTTATCTTTCGTTTTCTTCTCTTTTCTTTATCTGCTTTTCTTTGTGCTTCACTTTTTTTTCCTTCTTTAAAATTTTCATTCGCATTCTTTTATTTATCTCTTTTTAATCATTTTTACATATTCTTCTTTTACCTCTACGTCTCTTTCGTTTTCTTTTACATCGTTTTCCTCTTTTTCTTTTACGTTTCTTTCTCTTCGTTTTTTTTTTCTATTTATTTCTTTTAAATTTTTCTTTCACATTCATTTACTGTTTTCATTTGATACTTTAACTTTTTCGTCTACATTTTTTAAAGATTCTTAAACTTTTTTCTTTTTCATTTTCTTCTTCTTTTTTCTTATTCCTGTTTTTTGTTTGTTTTTCATCTTATTCCTCTTTTTCTGATTAATTTTCTTTTTTCTTTTCCATCTTCTTTGTCTTTTTCTGATTACTTTTCTTTCTTTTTCTTTGATTGTTTATCTTCCTATTTATTTCCCTTTTCTCTTTCTTCTTCCATTTCTTCTCATGCTTTTTTTCTTCCTCTTTTTCTCCCCTTTCATTCACCACCAGATTTGCATTTTCTCTTTTATATGTCTTCCTACTTTTATCCGTTCATTCTTTCTGCATCTTTCTTGCTCTTTTAGTCAGCAGTAAATAAATCAATGTTATTGGTGAAAATTTATTTATCTCACTATTAGATCATGTTATTTAAGCCATGGCAATTATGTGTAAAAGATAATATTGCCCAAATATCTACCAAATCTGAAAGAAAAAGAAAAAAAATCATTAGACGCTTAAAATTAATTCACATTTAAAATCGGTCCAAGTTATTGGAACACGCTTTATATATAAATAATGTGTGCAACGATTATCCGCGAACCGAGTTCAAATTCCTGTTGATTCTGTTTTGTTTACTTCGCACTAATGCTCTTGGAAAAAGATATGTTTCTACACCCCCACCAAAAATGCCTCCAGTGACAGGAAAGACTGCTCTCTTGCGTTAGGTGGCAGCCGTGCCTAGAAAAACGAAAATTCTGAAATTAAACCCGATGTGGTCTGTTTTGAGACTTCTTGGCATTCTGTGTCCCATTTGTCTGTTATCAGTTCTTCGAAATATTGTACCTGATACGGCAAAAGAATCGCCATTATAGCCACACCATATATTTAAGTTTGGCATCATAAGAGCAAAATAGACGAGATAGTTCACCATATATAACTTTTTTTACTTTTTTTAAAACCTCATGATAGTCTCATATGATTTATATTTCAGAGGTAAGAAGAAAAAAAATGAATCTACTGTCAATGACAGATAAAAATTGGATTGAAAAATTGAAGTGTCATGTGATTATTGGATTTTTTAAAAAAATCTAGAACAGATTGTGTCACGGGAATGCAGTAAGCTTGTGCAAAAATATCTACCATGAGGATAGCTCTTCATATGTAACCATTCGGTTGCCGAATGGGACCAGAGGAAGAAAATTTCTGAAGAAGATCTGTGGACAGGAAAACTTCCAGTAGCCAATTTTTATTAAAAATGAATCCGACAAAAGTAAAAACAAACAAAATATAATTTTTTCACTCTGTTAGATCAATAATACTGTCGTGCTCAAAACTTTTGAAAGTCACTCATAGATATTCATTAAGTCAGATTCTATGATACAAGTCAAATCATTCAAAATAAAATTGATTCGAGATACATTAGGTTAGGTCATAAGTACATTTTTTTTATTTGGTAACAAATGTAATGACTAATGTAGCATCCTAAATATTGTATTATTCTAATTTATATAATGAACCGGAAAAACATGACCTTTTTAGCCATAATAGCCCGGACTGGATTTCGAACTCGGTACTCTTACTCCGAGATTCAATCATTATAGCACATTTATCTATAAAAAGAATACCCGCTCGGCCCGGTGGCTAGGATCAAAGTGTAGTATCTGCGCTTTGTGAGCTGCCGGGTCGGGTGTCTGTCGAACTCTCTTCTTGCAGATAGGAACCCGGACGAAGCTCCGCCGAAGGGTAGGGTTTCGTTGGGGGAGGTTGACGGAACTGGCCCGCCTCGGCGGGTTTGGATGGTTATTTATTTTTGGCTGAGATAACCACATTAAAAAGGCCTTGTGCCACATTCTATCCCCGTGGGTGGATTGATAAATACCATCATTATAGCACATTCAGATTAGCGTGTATGAAATAATGAATAATCTTTGTTGTCAACGGCCGTACAATTTACATGATTACAGTCTGTTATTAATACAGGATACATAAAATGCATTTTTAATGTGTGTGGATTTTTATCTCATTGCGAATACTATACACGTAATTTATTGAATAGGAATTAGTCAAATGAAATTAAAAGTACATTTAACAATGGTTGGTCTTTGTTAATAATGAATCAATTTCTTTAAACCGTGAAGACAAAGTTTGGTAAAATTGTATAGTATAACCAACCCTCCTCACTAATTTTCCGAAATGAAGCTGATTTATATGTAGCTGATACGACGGGGATTTTTATTCATATCCATTCTTCAATTTCATTGCTTTTCATATTTCCTACTTCTGCTATTGTTTTAGGATTTTGAGATATTACTATAATATTTAAATGACTAATCTAAAAGAATCTGTATTGTTTGGAAGTTTCCATTCGGTTTTTGATACTGGATATATGCTCCCAAATAAAAACAACGAATAAAGCCATTTTTCTGCTATCAATAGCCACTGGTATTAATTACAAAATATTCACTAAATTAAAATAATTCCTCTAAAGATATTTTAATGAAAATATTTTCGTTTCGCTTACGAATATGATTTCTTATTCTTGCAAATGTGTTTATTGAAAACAAAGCAAACGTCCGGACACCATTTTTTCGTTTTGTTTTGTGTTAATTTACCTGTTGAGTTGTTTCTGATAGCTGATTCAAAATTTACTCTCCATTTGTTCGTCTGTCAGTCAACCTATCTGTCTTTATTCCTGTTTTCTTCTTTCTGTCAGATTTTATTTTCGCCCTAAAACTTTATTTTGTATGCATGATTAATTATTTTGTTTCTGTTTCTGGTTGGCGTCTTCACGAGTTATTTTAATTTTTTGAAAAATTTTGAAAGCCATTGTTACGGACGATTCAGTTTCAATGTTTGTTATTAACAAAGAAATCGAGATTAGCATCGGATTTTTATCTGATCCCATACTGTGAACAAATTTCGTTTTACATGGTTGAAAGAAAAATAAATTCACTTAATTCGGATTAATTAAATTTTGTGCGTTCATCCTATACATGTTAGATTTTTTTCTTTTTGCGTTTAACACATTGGCTGATATCGTGGTAATTACGGCTATATCACGTTGAAACGATCACAGAAGTTAAGCAATGTCGAGTCTGTTCTGTACATAGATGGCTTACCACCTAGAAATACTAGGTGCTGTAAGCTTTGATGTTCGGGTAATGTAACGGATAATGGCTCGGAATTATTAATCGCAGAAACCAGTTCCAATACCGGTCGGGTTCGTTAAATTCTCTAATGCGGAAATACCTTGTGGAAAGGTTTGATCCTCACCTTTTCACCTCCAAGCTATGGGTTAATTAGTAAGAACTGTATCATTAAATAATTATCCTTCTACCAAAAAAAAAAAATCTTACTGTCTAAAAATATTTCCTAGATAAAATATTTGATAAGCTTTAGATGATGAATCAAATCAAACTGCTACCTTGAATATATCAGCTCTTATTTACCGCCATCTTCATTTTTTTAATCGTCATCGTCGGCGAATCCGCGATCTTAATTTCTTCTTTACTGATCGCTTCCTTTATTATGATTGCGTTGTTGACAAAGTAGACCAATTCTTGCATGAAAGCCGATACTATTGACTGCATACTAACGTTGGTAGAGAACGATGACGAATTCATAAAGCCTTTCCCTCTTGCCTTTTGACTTCTTTCATTTCTCGTCTGGTGGCTTCGAATTTTTGGTTCCAAGGATGATGGGATACCATCAGTTGGCACCGTCACGAGCTTGTGTTTCAAACGATTTAAGTTCAAGTCCAGTGTCTTTCAATGATGTTTTCAGTTGGTCCTTTCATCTTCAAAGAGGGCAACCCCGTGGACTTTTTCCTGAAGTGATCTCACTGAATAAACCTTGACGTGGTAACCTTGACTCTTTCATTCTTACGACATGTCATGACCATCGAAGTCGGTGTTTAATGATCAGCGATTCGATGCTTTGACTGTTGGCTTTCCAGGGCTTTTGTGATGGTCTCTTAACAAGTCTATTTGATGTTCAAGATTGAACAAAGTTTTTGCTAGTAACAATAATGTTTTAATATTTAGATATAGTGACGACACAGAGTCCAGGTTTCACAACCATATAACAAAGTCGAAATGAAAACAATATTATAGACCATCAGTTTTGGTGTTGTCAAATATTTGTTGTTGAAGAGGCGTTTGATTAGCTTAGGTTGCCCGCGAAGCTCGGAATCCATATTGAGATTCTGGAAGGATCATTTTGGCAATGATCTGGATCTGATTTAGAAGATTCCGGCAAAGATTTTTGCAGTGATCGAGAGTAATGATATTCCTCTATAGTTCCAACAGGTTTTCGTTTACCCTTTTTGAAGATTGATATGCTTACTGCATCTATCAGTTCTTTCGGAATTTGTTGGGATTATCACATCTTCAGAATGAGGGTGAAAATGAAAGTTTGCAGAGGTATGCCTCCATATTTGATCAGTTCGAAAAGGATATTGTTTGGACCTGTCCTACTTGTTTTGGACCATTCTGTTTTATCAAAGTTTACGCAACTCTCTGCTAGGAAACGTTAGAGCACTTCATTCTCCTGTCTACTGAAAAGCTTGATGAAGATATGAGTTTCTTATTCCAAAAGGGCTTGACCTGCCCACTGCACCAAAACTGGTATTAATTGGTTTGCTGACGATGGAATTACTGCGTTTGATTGGCCAGCCAAATCGTTTGACATGTGAATCAATGCGATATAGTCAAGAGAGAGGATGAAAGACAACAAGCCCCAAAATAGAAACTAGCTGAAAGCCGCTATAAAGGCAAACTGGTCTTTATAATGCCTCAGCAGTGCCACAAGCCGATCAGCTCCAGACCACAAAGCAGTGACGCAGTAATTTTCGCGAAATGGACCGCATTCAAACAGTGAGCACATGAACGAAAATATATTCGATAAGTTCGATATATATGTTATAACTTATCTTTCTTTTGCTTCTTTCACTTTACGAAATATACTAATATTTTGTGATAGTGGATATTTGACTTTCATAAGAGACAATCCGTAATCATTAATATTCAAACAAATACATGTGACATGAAGTGGAATGATTATATTGAATTTATTGGTGGGCCGGCTGGTAGGAAAGTTATTTCGCTGTGACGTGCTATACATGTATGCTCAACGGAATAATACTTATAATATGTGAAAATATATAGAAAATAGGAAGGAACTGGTTAGGTAAATAATCCGAAGATCCTTAGTATTTTAGTTATTATTTTTAAAAATAGTGCTCGATACAAAAGTAGAGCATAAATATAATTATTTATTTAAAAATATGATTCCAACTCGCATTCTATTTGTTTCCTTCAGATGCCAAAAATGTTTAGATAGGGAAGTCTGATTTCTTTATTTATATTATTGAAAGAGCACTTATGCTGCCTCCATCTATCTTTAAAATCATTCTTCGTGGACCCAATGTATATCATATTAGTGCTAGGACTCTCAGTAGATGATATAGTACATTGGTATACCACAGATTTAATGCAGCATTTATTTTCTAATGGGCAGTCTTCTAGGTTTCTACAATTACATAATTTTTCCCTTTTATTGTCTGATTTAAGTGCAGGGTTTTTATTAAAATTCCCTCCTTGGCCATTTTGAAAGTTTTATTGGTTGCTGGGAAGGGGATGTGTGTTTTAAGTGTATGTTATTCTTTAGGTTTTTTTTAGGGCGTGTGTGTGATGTGTGTATATGTATATATGTTTGTGTAAGTGCATGGTTATGTGTTAGACCTCAACACCCCTGAAAGCATGACTGTCTTGTGTGGATGAGAAATATGGGTAGGGCTTGATTTATGGGATTATATATTATTTCTGTCTGTGTTGTTAAATTTTTGGTTAAGTCAGTCTGGACAAAATGTTTGGAAGCGAAAATCCATTTGTCTTCTTGCTCCTCTAGTATTTTTGCAAGGTTATCTCTTCTGTCTATTTCCATTTTTTCAAAATATTTTGCATGGCTTTTAAAATTGTGTTTTTCTACGCGGAAAAGTTGTTCTGCAGGTAATAGTCTTGGAGCAGACTTCATGCGATTCCGATAATTATTAATTCTGTAGTGAAAGGGCCATTCTGATTTCCCTATTGTCTCTGGCATAGTAAGCATTTTAATGAGTAAATTATATTATGACGTATACAGTTAGAGTTAGAGTTGAAAGTAGATTTAATAGTAGTAACTTAGTGAACAAATTGGTATGTCTCAGTTTCTCTCTCTCTCTCTCTCTCTCTATATATATATATATATATATATATACGTATATAAACGTATTATATTAGGCAGCATAAATTTTATATAATAAAGAGATAATCATATATTGAATCAATTAGCAATATTAATGCAATTAATGGCGAAATCTCTCCGCTAACAGACTTAATATAAGCATTAAACTACTAACAATCCACTGAATGATGCGATCCTTATGCATAAAATTGCTGTCAGATGGATCTAGTGTATTTTTTAGAGCAGCAAGTACTTTCAAAAACTTCATGTTTTCATCATCAGGCTGTAATTTTTTCCCTTTAAAATCAAAACTCGAAGATGAAATAAATGTGTTGTAGACCGAAAGCTGCACCTGATATATGCCTGTAAAAGTCATTTGACAGGTAATTATATTAACACGGATCTGTGAGCTAGCAAAGGTAGTCTCTCAGACATCGCAAACAAGAATGTAAGGTCCACTTTCAGCTGAGGCCACAGCGTTGTACACACACACACACACACACACACACACACAAACACACAAACACACACACACACACAAAAACAAACGACCGTGCGTGCAGTTTCCTAGATAGTTACGCAAATTTATTAATTTAAAATAATTATTAATGATATTATTATTTAGTCTTTCATGTTGTTTTATTTTTTATTTCCTAAAATATAAGCAATGCTAATGTTATTTTTGTTCTTGTAGATAAACATGTTAAAGCATTCAAGCTAACTTATTGGGTTAATCTTAAGTTCAACTCGTATTATAGACGTTTCTCAATTTTTTAAGACTATATCTCAATATTCAGTTTATACGGACATTTAAATATATCATTTGGTTTTCGTATGCACTTGCTAGATTACTTAACCAGAATCAGTGAACAAGGAATTTCGAAAGCAATTTAACGACCAAAGTCTCCCACAGTCTCGTGTGCCATCAGACAGAGGCACGAAAACTGTCCGTTCCATTGCTGTTGTCCAATCAGCATTCAGCCTTTTGTGCTTTGTTTGCTTTTCATTCAACCTGCGCACAACGGCCATTATATCTTTTAGATTTGAAAATTGCCGCCTTTTCACTGAAGCCACGTATATATGGAAATTGAGAATGAAACGGAAGGATATCTCATCTGTTTGTACAATTTTAATCTCTTTGAGCAAATAATTCAGATCTTAAAGGATTATAGAGACCCTTTCATACAACCAACAAAATATCTTTTTATTTTGCTTTTGTATGTTTTTTCCCATTCTTTCTTTCGTTTATATTTTTCTTTCGAAACCTTTCTGGCCTTAATCAACACATACTTTTTTTTCCATGACTCTAAACTCGGTGATTATTCCATATTGACAATTCCACCTCTTCTTTGTGCTTTCCATCCAGATTTCTCTTCTGTTAGCTTTTCTCTGTTTCTTTATATTTCCTCCTGTCTGTCTTCTAAGAAATCACAGTTTTTTTTTTAACCTCCTGCTTGGCACATTCTCCCTCAAAAACACCACCCAAAACAATGCAAGAGTCATATACAGACACATTCACAGACCTTTCTCAGTAACGTTTCTTGGAACAATGTTTCTGCGATGAATCTGTTCGAAAAGAAAGGATTTCATTTCCTTTGGACAAATAAGAATACTATGATTCGTTGATTACTTCGTCTTTGTTGAATTTAATGGCGACGTTTCTACGGATTCAGAGACGGAAGCGACGAGTGAAAGCAGATTTTCGCTGTGGGAATGGCGGGAAGAGAGATTGATATTTAACTTGAGTTGACCTCACAACAGCTTGCCATAATGCAATAACAATATTTCAATCAGGCAAGGAAAACGAGACACAGGTTGCCTCATACCCTTCAGACTGCACTCGACCGGCTTCAGTTTTCTCTTCTCTCTAATACTTCAACACCCTGTTTGTATAGTCAATCTTTTTATCTCATTGCTCTCTCTCTCTCTCACTATTTCTCTCTTTCCTTTTCGCTTACTCCTTTCTCTTTTTGTTTCTCTTTTTTCTCTACATTCTCATTTCTGTTGATTCTACTCTCTTTTTTTCTCTTCACTCTCCCTACTCTCTTACTTCTCTATTTCTCTCTCTTCCTTCATTCTTTTCTCTTCTTTCTCGCATTTCTCTACTCGATTTCTCTTCTAATTTCTCTTATTCTATCATGTTTCTTTTTCCCCCATTGTTTTACATTTTAAGATTCCCCCTCTCACTTTGCTTCTATTCTTCTTCTTGTTCCTCTTCTTCTTTCAGTCTTTTATTTTATCTCTTTCTTCTTCCTTGCTTCCTCTAGATCTTTCTCTACGTCTCTCTTTCTCTTGATCTTTTTATCTCTTCAGTTTTGTCCCCTTCCTCTCTAACCACACTTTTCTTTCTTTTGACGCCTTACTCTTTTAATACCTCTTTTATATCACTCCTTTCTTTCTTTTAACTCCTCTTCTCTCTCGTTTTTGTTTACCCTCTCCCTTCGCTGTCTTCGTTCTTATTCTCTTTTCTCACTTTCCTTGTCTATCTCTCTTTTCAAATTCTCTTCTTTTTCTTCTTCTTTTCTCTTCTTCGTCTTCTTTCTCCGATTTTGTCTCTTTTTATTTTTTGCCTTTGATACCGCTTCTTTCTTTTCCTTTTCACAAACGTTTTTTTTAATTCTCTCTTTTTACCCACCCCCACTATATACGCTCTTTATTTTCACTGATTTTTTTCTCACCCTTTCTATTACTTCATCCTTCTCTTTCTCTTTTCTTTCACTTGTGAAATATTTTCATACTTTGCGTTAGCTTAATGTTTATGCTACCTCTGTCCCATAATGGTTGATACATTTTTATGCACATTTCATACCGAAAATCTAACAATTCATACGGGACAGAGGTTTTAATTTTGCCTTCTTCGTTTCGTTTCTTCGCTTTTATATATAACTCCTAATTTTTTTTATTTTTTCTCTGTTATTTTGTCTCGTAAATTCCGTTTCCTTTTCCGATTAAATTTCTTTTTTCTTCTTTTCCTTCTTTTCTTCCTTTCTTTATTTTTTCTAACTTTTTATACCTTTTTAACAGTTATGTATCTTTCCTTCTACGTTTTATTCTTTCTTTGTTTTTTATTTTTCATATTTGCTTCTTCCTTTCTTCTAATTTATTTTACATTTTTACAGCATTTTATTTTGATGTTTTACTCTTTTTTTCCTTCTTACCCTTCAGATTTATTTATTTATATATTTTTCTAATTTATTTTATATCGTTTAGATATTTCTTTCTTTTTCTTTCTTCGTTTTATTCTCTCCTATTTAATTTTTTTATATTTTTCCTTTGTTCCTTTCTTTACTTCCTTTTTCTTTTATATGTGTTTTCAACGTTACTTTTTTTCTTACGACGTATTGTTCTTACTAATTTTCCATACTTCTTTCTTTCTTTTTTCTAATTTATCTAATAGCTTTTCAGTATGTCTTTCATTCATTCTTTTTTTCTTTCTTTCTTTCTTGTTGAATTATTTCTTCCTATTTTGATAATGTTTTTTGTTCGTTTCACTTTAATTTAATACCTTTTTTTATTCGTTCTTCCGTTCTTGTTCATTTCTTTGTTATTATTCAAATAACTTTGTCTTATTTCTTCTTGTTATGACTTTTTTTCGTATTTTTGATCACTCCTTTTCCTTCGTGTTTAAATTTTCTTTATTTTTTTAATTTTTTCTACTATTTTATTTCTTTTTTGACTCCTCTTTTAATTTTTATATATTTTTCTTTTTTACACTGTTTATATTTTTTGTCATTTGTTTTATTCGCTCCTTTTATTTTTATTTTATTTTATTTTTACTATCTGTTCTACGGTTTTATTCTCCCATATAATATGACGGCTTATCAACCTTTTACAAGTTATTTTAAGCCAGAAAATGGTTATAGATTGTAATAAATTTTGAGATAATAATGATTTTTATTGATACACATCTTACTAATTAAAAAAGATAATAATTAATTAATATTAATAAATTTGATTCTCCTTCCTCATGATACATTTAATGATCTTTCAGATAGATTGGCGTCGCCCATTTCATCCCCAATTTCATTATTGACTGCCGAAGATCACTGAATATGGTGTGTGTCGCTCTTGGACCGTAACTTAGGCCTTCAGTTTTGAATTCAGAGGTCTTTTTCCAAGACCGATTGACACTAAAGTTTATGTGACTCAGTCTCTTCTGCTGTTTACCCATAGATGTGGATTCATGCCTTTCTCAAGGTTATTAGCACGTCAATGAAAATAATGAACTCTACTGGAATTCGAAATCTGATCTTCGGTTCCCCAATCCAGGCCGCAATCCATGATTCCACCGTGCCTGCACAATGAACGTTACCATGGGGCAAAATCATCGGTCATCTTCTTTGCCCAGAAAAATTAATTTGCATTTTCCATGGGACAATTAAACGGGTCAATTGCTCGCAGTAGCTTTGGACATTATCAGGTTTACGCAGTTTTGTGAAGGTAGAAATTCTCCACTCTACAGGTAATTCCTATCAACAGGACGTCGTAAGAATATCACTACTCTATCTCTATTTTCATGGAAAATGTACAGATGAGCTCCATCCTTTAGTACCACCAATTCAGAAATTTTGATTTAGGACACGCCATAATATTTCTACAGAGTCGAATCGTACTAATTGCTTCCGTATCCAAAATGTAAGGAGGAAGTTCCACGCAACCAACTTTTGCCAAAGAATTGAAACCTTGCAGATACCGCGTAGATGTTTTCACGAAATTTACAATATAACCTTTTTCCATCAGGAGGCAAACATTATCTACAATAGTGACCATTGCCATCAACAGTCCATCGTCTTATACAATACTAACAATTTCCATCAGCAGTCCATCGTTATGTACAATACTAACCATTGCTATCAAGAGTCCATCGTTATCTACAATACTATCTATTGCCATCAACAGTCCATCGTCTTATACAATACTAACAATTTCCATCAGCAGTCCATCGTTATGTACAATACTAACTTTTGCCATCAAGAGTCCATCGTTATCTACAATACTAACCTTTCCCATCAAGGGTCAGTTGTTTTCTACAATAAAATTTTTCCATCAAGAGACAATCGCTATCTACAATATTAACATTTCCATCTAAAGTCAATCCATATCTACAGTATTAAGGTTTTCCATCAAGATTCAATTGTTATCAACGATACTAACCTTTACCGTCCAGAGAAAATCGCTATCTACAAAATTAACTTTTACCATCGAGAATAAATCGTTATCAACAATATTAAACTTTTCCATCAACAGTCAATCGTTATCAACAATATTAACCTTTACTGTCAAAAGTCAATCTAAAATACTAATCTTTTCCATCAAGAATCAATTGTTATCTGCAATACTAACCTTTTTCATCAAAGGTCAATCGTTATCAACAATATTAATCTTTTCCATCAAGAGTCAATCGTTATCAACATTACTAACCTTTACTGTCAAGAGTCAATCGTCATCTACAATATTAACCTTTTTCATCAAAAGTCAATCGTTATCTATCATCCTTATTCTCTTACCTCCTACTCTTTCATTCATATCAATCACCTGATTCATAACAACGATCTTAACTGCATTCTTATACTTTTGAAAGACATTAAAGCTTTGTGTTTGTCTAAATTTAATATGTAAAAAAAAGGTTTATTCATGTTCCTGCAATTCGTAATAACCAAATTAACATTATACATCACCAAACACGGGGAACTCTTTTTCCCCCGATAAATTAAATTTAATCTGAGATATATAAAGCTCCCATGGATCTACAATTTCTTTCGATTTCTATAAGAAATCTATTTTTTTTTTACCATTGCCTGAAAATGTTCTTTCTCTCTCAACATTAGAATAAGGCCCAAAAGCCACTGAAAATGGTTGAGTGCTACTGAGTGATGTTGCTGTATAGACGAAGAAGTAAGTGCATCTTACAAGGATATGTACGATAGATAAAGGTTGATTCTAAACTTGAAGAGGATAACATTTTAGTGATTGTGGAAGCGTCCTCTGTGGAGCCTGTTCCACAAGGTATCCAGACTCAGGAAGATGCTAAATTGACTTCCATTTTACAATTAAAAGACGGAGAGAATGAGTGTGATTCGAACCTGAGTACATATCATGGCGTGTACTAGTTGTAAATATTTGAATCTCTATCTATAAAAGGCAGGATGTGTGTGTATGCGTGTGCGTGTGTGTGTGTGTGTGTCTGTGTGCGTGTGTGTGTGTGTAACGAATACATGGCTGCAATTTTTGACGGATTTGCACAAAAATTTACATGCAGATACTCCAAGTTATCAGGAACGCCAAGACCGACTTTGCATTTCCCAACTCCCAACGATAGTGGAAATAATCGATTTTTCCATGATTCTACGGCAGTTTTCACGTAGTTTACGGCCATTTTCTACTGGCGAGAGCCTATAGCTGGCTGCCACGAATAGGCAGGAAGATTCTATTGGCCAGCGTGAGAGCCAACAACTGACTGACACGAATGCTAACTAGCATGCTAGCATGCAAAAAATTCGATATCTGCATTCGTCACAAGTGGGAAAAATTTAAATCTGCATGGCACTTTACTTCAATTGGCTCATTCGCTTGATTAAACTCAACGTTGATTCTGATTCCGCAGAACTGGGTTGGGTGTGAAAAAGTATTTGTTGTTAACATTCTTTTTTCATTCGTTTTTTCCAGTTACGCGTCCTTTTTAAAAGCTGTTTTGTGTTCATTTTGTTTAGTTCTTTTTTCGTAACCGATTTAATGTTTAGTATAGAGCAGTGTGAGATAGGCAAGAAGTAAGGCATGTAGCAACATCAGCACGGCAAAGGGCACTCCTTTAAAGACAAGGGAAAAAATATTTTATGTCAAGTGATAGCGTTAAAGTGAAAAAATATTTTATGCCAAGTGATAGCGTTTGCTGTATGAGTCGTACAATTTTTTAATCAAGCACGGGCAACGCCGGGCCATGCTGCTAGTTAGTGGAATAAAGCTGTATAACCCAAGTTAACATTTGCCATATAAACAGCGTACATCTTTGCCAAGGGGAAACATACCCCAAAGGACGACAAGACCACGTAGATTCTGTCAAATTTGGAAAATAAGAATTGGACAGTTTCAGAGTCGACATGCCAAGAATACATCTGATAAATAGAGAGCATGCCAGATGAAGTCAAGTACTTTCTGGAGCGGTACAACCACTCTTTCATCATCTTTAGCTATGGATCGTAGATACGCGTTCGACTAGAAATCTGGAGTGAAATTGAACCTTGAGCGGCCTTCAATGCAGATGGCTCAT